TTTTCCCTTTCGGGCGCAGCGAGACGAATGGCGAAACCGGTAGAGGATTTACCCTCGGCCAAAGATCTCGGTGCACTCACCTTTCCCTGCTGGTGACCGTCATCGCCGCTCCTTTCGTGCTTCTCGAAGATGCTGAAGCGGTTCTGAAAGCAGGAGACACTCGGATTAACGATTCAATTAATTCTACTAAATAAGTGAAATCAACTTGGTCGAGTTAAATTAACGAAATTTGCAAAGTCATCGTTGAACGTATTTTGCTACAACGGAGAAATAATTACATATTTATGTTATTCGTATGTACACATGGTATGTCTTGGGAATATAACGATACCAGATATGTTACGTAAACCGATCATGAATACGCTTCAATGAAGAAACTTAAGATGACTACGCGATTCGGAGCGAATTCTTTTCTTTTTTTAAATAAGCATAGAAATTTCTTTTCTCTTTACCGTTATTTTTTCTAAAAAATTTTGAAATACAAAATATATCTAATTTGCGTCTGCTGCGAGTTAGGAAAAATGTGATAGTTCAAACAAATCAAACAGGATTTAATACTTTACCACGAAACTTGCCATACCACTTAGTCTTCGTTGCATAGTGTCCCATATACCTATTTCTCCGCAGTTTTCCTAGGCTTTTATGCATTTCATAATCGATTTGTGCAACATACACGTTCCTGAGACTCATAATACATAATGCACGAATAGCATAATCATTTCTCCGTTTTTAGCGAAATACGTTCGACAAAAAAACTTATGCAACAAAAGGTCAAGGGGCTAAATTAATGAATTCGCGAGAGCGATGCGCGTCAAAGGAGGCGAGGCGTTCGAGCCCGACGAGCTAACGAAAGCGAGCGAGAGTAATCGCGACGTTGCGGACGAACGAACGAACGAGCCTCATTAGAACGCGTCTCGAATTTTCACGCGAGATCGCGGATCAATCGGTCGCGGATTACGAGCGGCTAAATTTACTTTTACCGCGCGAGAGTTTAAACGCGAGTGTGACGTAAGGAATGAAAGTCGATGACAGATTGTCACCGCGACGGCGAGACTGCGGGATTTTTGAGCGCTCGACGGAGAAAGTACGAACGAGGAAAGCGACGCGGCGAGGAGTGGCTCCCTCCTTCGCATTATTGTAATCGTTATCATCTTCTCGTCTTCTTACCCGTATCCTGGTCCTCAAAGAGGATATTATCGCGGACACTGAGATGACCTTAATAAGCGCCTTGTGGCTGGGTCTCGAGTGACCCGCATCCTTGTCCATTTTGCGAGAGATCGCAAGCGGATTATCGCACTCGCCCAACGCTCCCGATAAACTATCGTTGCGTTATCCTCCGGGAAGAAGAGACGAAGAGGAGCGAAGGACAGTCTCGAGATAGAAAAGGGACACGGCACGGCACAGCACGGCACGGCACGGATTCGGCCGGAAAGGGCCGACGACGGCGACGCGCAAAATCGTCCCGATCGAACGCGATCGAGATCGCTGAGTGCACCACTGCAACGCGCGAACGTTACTACGAGAGCGGCTCGGCGCGCGCTTGACGACCGCGCCGATATCGAGAACAGAAGTGTATGCCCGTCGTGCTATCTCACCTCGGTGGTTTCCTGCTGATACCGCTCGCCGGCAGCCTGAAACGCAAAAGCGGAACGTGACGTCACTCGCCAGGAGAGTACCACACATATTAAGGGGGGGGGGGGGGGGATGGAAAAAAGGG